ACTGAGAACCGCCTCCTGATAAGTTGCGCCCCCGCCTCCGAGCGAGAAAGAGACTCTTCTTGCACCCGCCCGCCGCCTCCCGCGCCAACCTCGTCGTCGGCCGGCGGCGATGGCGGCGCCGACAGAAACGACGCCTCCTCTGTCGCCGTTGGCGCCGGCGCCTCCTCCGGCATTGTCGGCGCCGGCGCCTCCTCCGGCGCTGACGGCGCCGCCGGCTCAGACTTCGGCCGCACAACTTCTCCCTCCGGCTCCGGCGGCGGCGGCTCCGGCGGCGGTAAGTCTCCTTGGCTGTGGCCTACCTGGCTAGCCACCTACGGCCGAGAGGGCTGCGGCTCAGCCGAGACTGCGGGGGCGCCGGCCGCCGGCCCGCCGTCGTAAGGCCGCGCCTCGACCTCTGGCTCGCCCTGCGCCGCCGCCTCCGCCTGCGCCGCCGCCTCCGCCTGCGCCGCCGCCTCCGCCTGCGCCGCCGCCTCCGCCTGCGCCGCCGCCTCGGCGTGCAGCATCTCCCGGCACGCGGTGGCGTAGGCGCGCGCCGCCGCCTCGGCCGTCTCGTACGTCTCGCCGATGCGGCGCCGCTTGCGGCCGTACCCGTGGTCCGAGACGAGGAACGCCTCCCACTTGTCTCGGATCTGAGACGAGACGACGCCCTCGTAGCCCGAGAAGGCCTTCTCCGAGCGCACGACCACGCCGGACGGGTCGGGCAAGCAGCAGAGCCGGTGGCGGTCGAGCTTGTCCACCGTGAGGAAGCACTGCTTGCACTCCTCACACCGGTGTGGAGAGACGGCGCACGCTCCCGCCTCGTCCCGCGCGCGCGCGACGCCGCTCTCGGCGCGCGCCGCCGAGATCCGCTGCGCTAGGCCGCGCCTACCGCGCAGCAAAAGAGACGCGTGCACGGCATGTGCGTGCCGCGGGCCGCTCGTCGAGCGCCGCGCGCCACTTCTCGCGCCGCTCGCGCACCATCCTGCGCAGGGTCGCGCCGAGCGATGCGTCGGGCGCCGGCTCGGGGCGGCAAGTCGCCTTGCACTCATCCAGCAGGCCGTTCCACTCCTGCTCCATCGCCTACGGGCACGTGTCGGGGACGCGTCGCGAGGAGGGCGGCCCTCTGGCCGCGTCCCCGCCGCTGCCTCCCCGCCGTGTCGAGCTCGTCGTCCACGGGCTGCCTACAGCTCGGGCAATCTCGATTCACCCCACGGCACCTCGGGGCCCGGGCAGAAGCTCGGCCGGAGGGCTGCGCCCGTCGGCGGCGTAGATGCGGCATCCTCTCGAGATGAGGTGCATGCGAGACCTAGCCGCGGCAGCGAGGAGTGAGGCGCCCTCGTCCCGCCTCGAGACTGCGCCCAAGCGGTGGCGAGAGGCTGCAAGGCTGCGCATGAACTGGCCCGCAGCCCCCTCCCCCTCGGCCTCTCTCTCCCTCGGCCTCTCTCCCCCTCGGCCTCCCGCTCACTTTGTCTGCCGCGCGAGCGCCGCCATCGGGTTGCCGGGCACGCCCGTCACGACCATGGCGCCGAGGTCGACGCTCGCGCCCCGCACGCTCGCCGTGTGCACCCGCCCGCCTAGACGCACACCCATGCCCTCGTGTGCGGGCGGGTCTGCGGCCACCCGCACCTGCACTTCTCCGCGCACCGATCCGCTCTCGCCCCTCAAGGACGATCACCTCGTGCCCGTGCAGGGCGAGCTGCCTCGCTGCCGCGAGCCCCGACGCGCCGGCGCCGATGACCACTACCCTCAGCCGCGTGCCCTCAGGAAAGCCCGCAGCGCACCCCCCGCCGGCGCGGCCGAGCAGCCGCTGCGGGTGGTCGTCCATCACTCCGACGTTGATGTAGTTGTGGTGATTGAGGCAGGTGTAGACGGAGGCGGCATCCGCGGCGTGCGCCCCCGAGCCGCGAAACTCGCTCCCCAGCCCGCGGATCGCGTCCGCAAGCGTGAGGAACTTGGATGGTGTCTTTTGAGCCCGACCGAGGATGTGGTTGCGGATTGTGGTGAGCCGGGCGGCGTTTTGCTTGAGCTTGGCGGGGAGCGCGGTGCACGCACGCTCGAACGGGTGCAGCTTGTGCGGCTGCAAGCCCGCCATCGTGGCCGCCTCTTGGTCGACGCGGTACGGGCGGGCAGTGTGCTCCGCCTCGAGATACGCGAGCGACGCGAGCAGGCTGGGGTCGTCGTCCACGTACGGGCCCTGATTCTTGCGCTGCCGCATGCTCCGGCCGGCGCCTGGCTGCTGCGCCTCCGTATGCTCGGCGGCCGCCTTGCGCTTGGACGCCATCGTCCAGCTCTGTGACCCGCTGATCGCCTTGCTCTTCCCTCTCGTCCCACCTGCCTGACTGTACCCATGAGGTCTGGAACGATGCGGAGGCCCATTCTTTCGGGGTGGGCCGGATCTGCTGCGGGATAACGCAATCGTCCTACCAGTGCCTGCGGCGCCGAGACGGTGGCTGCCAGCCTCTCGCCTGACCGGCCCCCCGACTCGACCGAGGCCGGAACCGCGCGACCGCCCACCCCCCACGCCACGCCGCCCGAGAGCCTCCTATTCGCGCATCCGGCGAGCGACTCACAGCCACCACTATCAGCACCGCCGTCCCCAGCCTGTCTCACAGCAGACCAAGTGCTTGGAATGAATACAAGACGACGGTGAACGCTTCGCGGGGCTTTCACGCTATGCCAGATTCTTCTTCGCCTGAGTTTTTGTTTAATTGGAGTTCTACGTGATTGGAGTTGGTGCGCGTAATTCTCTGAAAGAAAGAAAGCAAACAGACATACCAAGGGAGGGAATGGGAGTAATTCTCTAAAGAAAGAAAGAAAACAGACAACCCAAGGGAGGGATGGGAGGACGGCACGCCGCCACCACACAACTCCCTGTGCTCTGCGGGAGACGTGGCATCTTTTCTTTCATATTGCAATACCTCCAGTATCGGAGTTTTGCGCTATTGAAGAGGTGTGAACGTGAACAGAGTCATACCAGCACCGTGGCTCGTTACGGCACGCATGAGGGGCCTCCCGGACGTATGATCCTAGCTCAATAAGCTCCACGGAGCAGATTTGGATTTTTGACAGAATTAATGCACTGCCCCCGCACGGTACTAACTATCGTAGTTTTGTGCCGGGTGCCCTTCACGGCACCACACCGCCGCAAGACAGCCCGAGATTAGCCTAGCAGCGAGTGGGCATCGCCTGCCGGTCGGCTGGGCACGAGCCAAGCACTTGGGCGGCCGTCAACCGAGTCCGAGCGGCGCCTGAGGTGGGTGCCACGGCGTCTGCACGAAGGCGTGGCAGGGTGAGGATCCAGGAGTGGTGAACGCCTCCCCGTCGGGCGCGCGGCGCGCCGGATGGTCCGCCGAGGCCGCCGGCGGCGGCGATGGGGCCGGCGGGGCCGACCCGGCCGGCAATTGTCGGCTCCACCTACAGAAGAGCAGTCACTGTGGGTCGACGATACTAACTCGGTAGTAACGCGGAGCGGTGCTGTGCGGCGCCGAGTCGTGCGCGAGGCGACCTCCTGAGGCTACCTGAGCTGGCAATGGATGCCACCAGGACGCACGGCTAGCAGGAGCCAGTCAGGCATGCCCTGCTGTGGAGCAGAGCTGGTGGCGCACCGGCGATACTAACTCAGCGCGCCGCGAGAGGCGAATCTGGGCGACTTTGGAGGCGCAGTTCTCGAGCTTGCCGTCGACGATTGACGTCGGGTAAATTGTCACTGCCGTCCGGGATGGTCTTCTCTCAGGAGGCCGAGCGCCGTGGCCTGGCTCGGCTCGCCGCGGACGGCACGAATTTATCGCGCACAAAACTCCCGAGACCTCGATACTAACAAAACTCCGAGACAGGAGGTACCGAGAACAAAACATGGGGCAAAAAAAAAACATGGGGCGTGCCTCTCGCGGGCGCCCACAGCAGTTACGCGTGCAACCCTCGGCAGCTGCAACAAGTGCGGTGCTCTCGCCTACAGTGCTAACTGACGCGGTATGGCTGCAGGGACAAGCACGGAGGTGATGATGACCGAGCATCAGCGTGTGCCGCACTGCCTGTGCCGTGCAACGCTGCAACCTGCATTCCAAGAGCACAGCGGGGCCGGAAGCGGGCAAGTGCATGCAGTGTTTGGTTCCGGTGTGCAGTGCTTTGGTCCGGTCATCTACCAGGCCCTCTGCACACATTTCAATGCTCGGGAAGGAGCTGTCTACTTCGTCAACATGGGAGTAGGGGAGCCCGGACCTCGACCTACTGACGTAGGGCGGGACGCTTCGAATCTCTGTCGAAGCAAAGTGTGGTGGCGGCGTGCCGTCCAGCGTCCTCCTATCCCTCCCTTGGGTTGTCTGTTTTCTTTCTTTATCGAAGCAAAACCACATATTCTCCACATTCGCTGTTTGCCTACTTCCTTTCTTCATACCACACGCCGCTCGCTTTTGAAACCCTTTTGTCGCTTCTCCACATTTATCGAAGCAAAACCACATATTCTACCCATTTTCGCTGTTTGTGCCTTCTTCCTTTTTTCGTGTACCACACGCTGCACGCTTCCGCCCATGGCCCCTCGGCGCATCAGCCCGGCAGCCGCTCGGCGATGACGATGGAGCCTCTGTTGCCGCGCGTCACCCTCAGGTCTTCGTCGAGGAAGAGGATGTCGAGGTAGCCCTCTGGCGCCCGGGGCATCTCGTACGTCATGGTGCCGTCGGCGGTGACCTCCTCCGCTCGCCGCAGCCCGAAGAGCCGACGCTGCGTCAGTCGCAAGCACACAGGCATGAGCGGCGAGACGGGCTGGGCAGTTGGGGCTGGGAGCAAGGGACGTGCAGCTGCTGTGGTGGCCACTCACCGCCACCCACAACTGGAAGCGCTGCATGCGCGAGAGATCGGCGCTCGAGCCCGGCGCGGCAAAGGTGTCGCGCCACGCCTCGGAGGGTGCGCCGTCCGCCGGCCTGAGGCAGCCGCCGCCGAACTTGACGGCCATTCGTCCCGGGTTGCCGTCGACCGGCGTGCACTCAGCGACGTTCTCCATGGTTGCGGCCAGCGGCGACGCGTCGGGAAGCAGCAAGTCCAACTTGACGATCACCTCGTATGCCCCGGGCGAGCCGGGAGCCGGCGCGGACGACGGGTTGAGGATCGAGTCGATGGCAACCGGCAGCATCTGCGGTGCAAACATGTTGAACGAGGCCCGGCCGAGCGAGAACTTGTAACGGCCGGCGGCGTCCCGGCCAAGCGAGTCAGGAAAGTCGGGCTTGGTGATCACCCGCCAGTCGCCGGCCCACAGCGGCGATAGCGCCGGCTCGGGTATACTAAACGGCTCCAGCTCTGTGATGGCTGCCAGCACCTCCGGAGCCTTGGGCTCTCCGTCCGAGGCCGCCAATGCAGCGCGCAGCGCCGACTTGGCCGTCGTCGCGGAGCTTAGCATGACCGGCGGAGCGCGCCGGAGCGGCGGCGGCGATGCGGCGAGCAGGAATAGCATACACACGTATGGGGTTGGCAAAGCAAGCAACTCACCTCCGGTTCCCCAGGCAGCGAAGCGAAAAAAGACGCAGCACCTTCCTGTTGCAGGGCCTTCTCTGGGGAACGACGCGACAGAGGAGGAAGTGACAAGGGAGAGACCGACGAGAGTGGGACGGCCGCGAGGTGGCATGAAGGTTGCAGCGAGAAGCGGCGAGAGACTGCGAAAAGAGATACGAAGAGGCAGACTCCCCAGGGTGGGCGACGGCTAGCGCACCACACTCCTCTCCTTAAAATCCCTGTGTGGTGGCGGCGTGCTGCGAGAGGTAGTGTTATCGGACACGGCTCCGGGCTCTGATGCTGTGAGCCCCGGACCCTCCTTGCGAAGCACACACGCCGGTGTGGAAGGCGCGAAGGGGGAAGTCCGGAATCGCCGAGAGCAGCGCGTGGGAGCATGGCCTCGCGCTGGGAAAACTCTTTTGTCCTACTCACTCTTAGCCTTGAAGTACAACGACCTGGGTGTGAGCCAAGTCCGTGGCTAAGTCGAGTTGGGGCAGCGAGCGGCCTGTCAGGTCGACTCGCCCATGCATGCCCAGCCCGCTTGTGGCTGCCCCGACACATGGCCTCTGGTGGACCTTGCTGGGCAAGGTCCACTTCGGCTAAATTCACGCCCCAAACGCTACTATTTGCTCAGGCCAAGACCCAAGTCCAGGCACACTAGAGGACTGCCTGAGCTCACAGGGGCATGTACTACTTACTATATTCACACCTACTATGCTGTTTTCACACCGATCATAATACGCGATCGCGCAGGCGTGCCGTTCTCCCATCCCTCCCTTGGGTTGTGTGTTTTCTTTCTTTCTTTCTTTTTCTCTGGGGCGGAAAACCGGACCTACCTACCTATTGCATAGGGCGTCACCGTGGTCAACAGACCCCCTATCTATGGGCACCAGATGCGAAAAAGAAAGTCGCTCACCGATCCCCAGCCAACTACACTCATCGGCCGTCGTCCGTCCTCTGGCCACATGCTCGCCGCGTGGCAGCGAACCGCCGAGGGCTTCGTGTCCACCACGAAGCGATCGCTTCTGCAGGCGGCCTCGCGCTTGGACAGCGGCTGGGCCGCCATCGCCGCCAGCCTCGTCGCCTACGCCTATGCCACGTACCTGGTGTGGCCGGCCCACCGTCCGGGGATCCCCGCGCGCCCGAGGCGCGCCCTGCAGGTTGCGAAACGGGAGTCGAGCTCCAGGGTGCACATCGCCGAGCGGGTGCCCCGTGTGACCAACCCGTTTGGCAAGCGGCCGCTCAGCTTCTCGAAGGGCGACTACCTGCGCATGGCTCTGTGCAGCGTCACGCTCTTTCCCTTGCGAGTGGCGGTGCTCCTCGTCTCTCTGCCGGTGGTGGGGACGCTCGCGGTGGTCGCCACCATCGGAGCGGATGAGACGCGTCCGCTCGGCCCAGCGCGGCGCGCGGTGATCTATCCGGTACGGCTGCTCTCTCGCGTCGCCCTCTGGTGCCTAGGCTATTGGTGGGTGCCGGTCCTCAAGCACCCGGCAGCGTTGAGAGAGCGGCCGCGCGTGCTGGTGGCGGCGCCGCACTACTCGCTCATCGACATGTTCTTCTTGACGTACCAGGAGATGCCGATGGCCCTCTCCAAGTCTGCAATCGCAAAGATCCCAATCTTTGGCCGGGTGGCAAAGGCGATGCAATCCATCTTTGTGGACCGCCAGACCGCCGAGTCGCGCGCAAAGGCGGCGGAGACGATTCGCGCTCGGTGCCGGGAGCCCGGCTGGCCGCCCCTGCTCGTCTTCCCCGAGGGGACCACCACCAACGGCGCGGCGCTCATCCAGTTCAAGGCAGGCGCCTTTGGAGTGGGCCAGCCGGTCCAGCCGGTGCTGCTCCGATACGGCCACACACCCGTCGACGTGTCGAGCGCGGTGCGGGGGTACGAGATCTTCCTGTACGCAATGCTGCAGCCTGCAAACTCGCTCACTGTCGAGTACCTGCCCCCGCACGCTCCGACCGACGAGGAGCTCGCCGACCCGCGCCTGTTTGCGTCGAACGTGCGCGCGGCGATGGCAGAGGCGCTCGGGGTGCCATGCACTGGCCACTCGTACGAGGATGCGTGGCTCTCCCTGGTGGCGCACGAGGGCGGGCGAGAGGTGGCGCAGACCTTCGAGGTCAAGCAGCTGGCGCCGATCCTCGACCTGGACACCAAGGGCCTCTGCAACCTGCTCCGCCGATTTCACGCCTTCGACCTCAACGGCTCGGGCACCCTCAACTTCGAGGAGTTCATGGTGCGCCAGCGACCGCGCGCGCAACGCAAGCCCTCCCGAGCGGGCGGCCCGCTAGTCCGTGGGATCGCGCTGAAGTCTGCCCCACTACCCTTCAGCCTGCGTTCGACCGCGGAAACGCGGGAAACCAAGGCAGCGGCCTTTTCGTTTACTTGTGGCTGGCCGCCGGGACGCGGGACAGCATATGCACTCTAGCACACAATTCACAATTTGGTAAAATCTCTCTCGAGAAAAGGCAAAACTTGAAGAGTTTTCGGCAAAAAAATCATGCTCCTACGGGAGTGTACGTAATAGAGCCAAGGGGCCTAGAGAACACAACCCCCTCTCTCTTTTCTCCCAGTAAGCTATAAATAAGTACACACACATACATTGAGAGAGCGCCGAGTGGCAGGGCCCCCAAGGGCCTAGAAATCGCGCCTCTGCCTCTCCCTTTTCTCCCAGGAAGCTAAAAGTACACGTACATTGAAAAACAGGCGGTTAGTGGTGACTTCCGCAACAACACGGGGTCCTTGCTGGGTTAGTTAACCGACTGCGTCTGGCATGGCCATGGGCGCCATGGCGTCGTCTGGCTTCACAAGCAGCATCCTGTGAAGCGCTGCCCGGTCCACGGCGTGCGCCAGCTCGGTCTCGGACCAAGCTGGCCGCTCCACTGCCCGCGCGGCACCGCCCCACCTTCCCCCCGCGCCGCGCTCCCACCCACTCGCGCCGATCCGCCACGCGCCCCCGACGGCCCGCTGGCCTCCCGCCTCTCTCCAGCGGCGCGAGCGGCGCGAGAGGAGAGCGTCGCGACTCGCGGAGTGGTGAGGCGAAGAGGCGGCGGCCGGCCGCAACCCGAACCCCGCGGCGAGCGCAGCCTGCGACATGCGAACCGCGACGTCTTCCGCGTTGGACGAGAGCAGCAGCGTCCCGCCCGGCGCGATCGCCTACAGGCAGCGGGAGGAGCTGCTGCTGACCGGTGCGAGGGGCGGCTCGCGGTGTGCGCATGGCGGCGAAGCCTTCGCCGCCGCGCGCAACAGTCGAGGCTGCCCGAGGAACCCGTCGCTCTCGAGGCCCTCCGGCAGCTGCGAATTGCCGCTGCTGCGCGAGTCGGCCGCGGCTGCCGCGTAAGGCGTCGGGCACGCGATCAGCGCCGAGGCTAGTGGTCGGTGGTCGTCGGCGGCGGCGGCGAGGGCGGAGGCAGCGTCGGTGTGCATGAAGGCGGCAGAGTCGCCAAGGCGCCAACGCCGGGCAACGCCACGCGCGAAAGCCACGCCAAGCGGGCTGAGGTCGCAGCCGACGAACGCAGTGCCGTCGCCGTCGCGCCTGCTCGCTGCGGCAGCGGTGAGCACCCCGACACCAAAGCCACACCCCAGGTCGAGCACGAGAGGCGAGCCCCCCCGCGGCAGCCTCGCGCATGGCGCCGCAGGCTGCGCGGCAGCTCTGGCGTCGCCCATGGACCACTTGGGCTGCTTTCGAGCGGTGCGGTAGAGCCAGGCCGCCGCCCGCGGCGACGAGAGGCCAAAGCGGCCGGCCTGGAGGTCCGTAGCCAGTTCGGAATACTCACCGCACTCGCTCAGCATCTCGCCGATGATGTCAAACAGCCCGAGCGGCGCCGCGAGGCCAGCTGCCGCCGCCTTCTCGGCGAGCTGCACCAGAGTGTACGCCGACCGTGGCTTGGACCAGCCGCGCCGCCGCCATCGGAGCTCGCGAAGCTCAGCCTCGGCGGTCGCGGCGAGCATATCCAGCGCTGGTGAGTCGGCCGCACCGGCCAGCGCCAGATTGAACGCCACCTAAGGGTACGTTTCTTGACGATGTGCCCGAAGCGCTCGTGACGATGGTCGAGCTCGCGAGCGCCGCTCACATCGATGGCGTGGCGGCCCTCAATGCCACCGTCGCCCCGTGCGATGCACGAAGCAACCGAGGCGGCCGCAGCGCGAGCATCAGCCGGCCGGCACGCAAGCGTGAGCGCGACAGCTTCGCGGCTGAGGGCAATCGCGGTCGGAGCACCCAGCATGGGAGACGGCGAGTGCGTACTGACCGGTCTTCGGCCGCCTTGCCGCCCGCTCCGCCGCCGTCGCGGCCCCACCGCCCTGCTGTTTTCACAGCACGACAGAGGGACAAGAGCTCACGGGCCGCTGGGGTCGCCTCGTGAATAAACGAGTATAGATAGCGGTTTTTTGAGACACTTGACACATAGGTAGGTAGGGGCGGGCCCGCACCGCCCCGTGAGGAGATAGAAGGTAGAGGGGCCGATTGTTTGCGATTTTCGGGCCCCTCAATCAATCAACCCCTACCTAGACGGCTGGCGGCTGGCGTGTTCCCGCAGGCAGACGGAAGACTAATCCTGGCGGGGGAAGCAACCTTCTCTGGTATGACGGAAGACTAATCCTGGGTGGGTGGGAGCCCGAGGAGCGGTGTATAATAAAGGAAGGGCGAGGGGGAAACGCGAAGGCGCACGGACACAGGTACAGGCCATGTTAGAATTCTCCATTCGTGCGTGAGTGAGTATTCTTGATACGAAACACACACACACACACACACTTCTCCATTCGAACCTACGAGTTGCGTCCGTCCCCTCTCGCCGACGGCAGCCATGATATCGGGGCCGCGTGCTGTTCGCAGCCGTCTGACGGGAGGACTGCTCCTGGGAGGGACCCTTCTCGCCATTCTCTCCTACACAGCGCTGCGACGCCCCGCGTCTAGGATGGACGAGTACTGGCACCTCGGCTCCTGTCCAGCACACAGCGGCGACGTCGTGACTGACTTTGAACCCAAAAAGTACGATGGGCACTGGTTTGCCGCCTACCTCAACCGCCCCGACCCGCTGTCGCGCTGCATCGATTCTGAAATCACCCTCAAGGCGGGCACAATCGATTTCCTCGGCATGTTCAAGGGCGCCTGGAAGGCACTTGCCATTGCACGCAGTTTTGCACAGATGTTCCTCCCAAGCGCATGCTCCGACCACGCTCTCGCATCAAGCGCAGGTGTATAGCGGCGTGCAAAAGGTCCGCGTCTTGACTGGCGAGCTCTCGACACGCAAGTTCCGAACCGGGTACCTCGACTACGCCGTGGACACATCCGTCGGCAAGCTCATTGGCGTCGAAAACTATGACCCGAAGACTTGGTTCACCGACATGCCTGGAGCACCGTACGAGATCCTGGCCACCGACTACACGTCGTATGTGATCGTCCTATGATGCTCCAACACTTCACGCCCTTAAGCTCCACTCTCGGCCGCTCCGTGCGGGGCAATCTTGGCCTGAAATGGACGCTTCCGCCAGGCGGTCGTCTATAACTGCTACTACAACACGATGATGTCATGGCCCAGCATGTACTCGCACCATGTGTGGATCCTGACAAGAGAGGTCTTTGCGAGCGAGGCTGCCCACATTCGAGGCGCGATATGATCCACGATTCCAACCCGGATTCTGAGGGGCAAGCTTTCACTTGTAGGACGAAGGGGGCCTGCCAAAGATTCTCGCCAAGGCCAAGGAGGTGATGGAGGAGCAGGGCTTGGATTGGGACAAGCTGGAGATGCAGTTCATGCCACAGGGCAGCGAGAATGGCTGCAAGTATGATGCGGGCGTTACTATTGGTCTCGGCATGAGCGGCATCATGGGTCGAATGCCGACCGGCTTGTGGGCACGAGATTTGCCGACGGCTGCAGCACGAGATTTACCGACGGCTGCAGCGCCAGCAGCCGAGGAAGAGGCGAGTGTGCACACGCCATTAGCACCGACCTCACGCCTGCTATAAACTCGCACTGCCGTTGTCAGGAGGAGCCGCTCGACCCCCTGACGAAGTCAAGCGAGTGGGCCGTTTCCATCATGGGCTATTTGAAAGGTTTCGTCGGCTAAGGCCCAGAAGCTATGATGAGACTACACCCGATGGATGAATGGCCGAGACGTCGGGTTCGGACTCGGCACAGAGATGGCGCGGTTGGCGCGCATACAGCGCCCGGTTTAGCCGTCTAGTAGTAGTACACGTACATGTCCGCGCCACACTGCCCT